ACAAGTCTTATTTTTTTTCACATGGTCCAAAAAGCTGAAAACAAAGTCCCCAGCCATTTACTTCATTTGAATTATTTCCCAGTAAAGTCATTTCAAACTGCAGGGTCGAATTTTTTGAGCTTTAACCATCATCCTTTCTATTTTTCCCCATAATCTCCTCTTCCCCTTTTAAATCCTCACTTATTCCACCCATTTCTTTTTCCTTCATGTACACAGAATATTAGCAAGCAGCAAAGCCCAGAGGATGGATTTGGCTATTAAATTTAAAAAGAATCTAAAACAACTGTACTAATGAGCAGTCAATAACGTATTTTCAACTAAATAAAATTGAACTAGGCACTGTTCTATATTTAAAAATATTGCCTAAAGCAAACTTTCATGACAGAAATGCTGCGATCTCCATGTCAGTACAGATTTTAATGCCACAATTATATTCGAGAAAGCATTATTCACATAAGGCATGTTAAGACAGAATTAAATCACAGTGATTAATTTGCTTATGGATTAAAGCTGAATTCAAAAATCTATAAAACTAAATATGTGGAAATGATAGAAGGAAATCTTAGTCATTGGGGCAAAGGTTTTTTCTCTAATTAGTTTCAACGAATCATTAAATTTCTTTGTACAAGCAACTGAAAAAATATACAGCTATTTTAAAACTAACCAGAGAAAAGAAGAATTAAAACAAAGACATTTGGCTTCATATATTATATTTCCTTTTAAAGTATATATTCATAGTTAAATTTGATAACCTCTATTTAAAATATTTGAAAAAAATTTATCAATAAAATATAAAATAAGAAACATATAGTCATAAAATGTATTTGCCTTACGGAGGAACAGGAAGTCTACTAGAGGTCTCTAACATTAAATACTGGATAATTGTTAAAATTCAGATACTGTTTATTAAAGCTACATCCAAAAGTACATACATAATTCTAAGATGGTGACTGCAATTATGGAATTTATATTATTATTGTCATCAACCTTTCATTTTATTTTTCCTACACTTATATTTTAACAGGTTTAGTCAATTTAACTCATAATCAAAAGTCTATGGCATAGAAAAATAGATAATTGATGATTGATAGAAATACAGATAAGTAGATACACACACACATACATAGAAAGTTTTGTTACAAAAGCCATATGTGCTCACTCGCTGCTTTTTTGAGAACAGACTATACAAGGGACAAAGGTGGAAGCACAGGCCAGTTAGTTGGTACCAGAAAAATCCAGGGAAGACATGATGATGACGTGGACCAGGTGATAGCAATGGAGGTGGTGAGAATCGGAAGTAGAGCCAAAAGGATTCAGCAGAGGTTTAAATGTGGGAGATTTTGTCTTAAGCAACTGAAAGGTAGTGTTTCCATTAATTTCACTGGGAAAGAATGTCTGTAAAACAGGTTTTTAGGAGATGATTGGAAGTTTGATTTTGGACAACTTCACTGGACATGAGTAGGCAGTTGGAGGGGAGAGTCTATAGTTCAGGGAATCGAGTCCAAGGTAAGTATGAACATTGGGTGGTGCTGCTTTAAAGTTATGAGACTGCAGGATATCATGAAAGGATGGAATACAGACAGAAAAGGGACGAGGCACAAGTACTGAGCTCTAAAATACCACCAAATTTTAAATATTATCTTATTCAAATTCCTTTCAAGAAATGTGCTACCAATTTACATACCTCCCAGAATTATACAATAATGCCAGTCACCAGCCTTTGCTAAGACTGGGCATCATCTTTGTCCATTTGTCATATTAAAAATGTTTCTATGTCTTTTTGCTTGTTGTTTTTTAAGTTTTAACTCTTTGTTACAGGTGAAAATAAGCCTTTTTTATGTTTATTAGTAATTTGCATTCTGTCTTCCATAAATTACCTATGTCCTCAGATCATTTTTCTCTCCAAGTATTCTAATTCTTATTAATTTATAAATCACTTTACATATTAAGGTAATTAACATTTCACTTGCAAAATTTGTTGCAAATGCTTTATGTCATTTTCATTTTCATAGTTTTCTAGTGTGAAAGATTTTACACTTTTTAGTAAAATCTATTTGTCAGTTACCTTGTTATATATTCCATTACTTTCATATGTACAAAGATAAATATATTCACATGTTTTCTTCTAATCGTTTATAGTTTCTTGTTTTTTGCATTTAATTTTCAGTTCTTCTGATATTTATGTTAGGTCATGAGTGAAGACCCTTATAAATATTTTCTTAGATTTTTAGTTCATTTTATAATGATATTAAGTAATATGTCCATTCCATCTTTACAATTCATTCTGTAACTTATGTTCAGTTCTTCTCCCTAGTGGTATCTAGTTCTGAGATATCTATTCCCTCTCTTTTCTTTGGTTACTAATTCTTTTGTCTATGCTTCAAGTCTTTATTATTGTATTGTATTATTATATTGTATCTTTATTATTGTATTTTAAAATTATTTTTATATATACTATTTTTTATATATAATGTATGTTATACATACATAATCTATATATATATATTTATATTTACAGATGTATAATTTATTTGTTAAATAGCTGAATGCCTAACAGGCATAGGAGTCTTCTGCTCTAGTTGTCAGGTTCTTTACAAAACCAGAGAGCTGAATGTCAGTTTTTGTTTTCCTGACATTTAGTATAGCATATGGTGTGTAATCTAAGGATCATTTTTAAATTCAGTCTCTTCAGTGATGCAGTACTAGAAATCCCTACACCCCCTTTCTAAGCCCAGAATTTGGCAGATGTCTTTCCTTCCTTCTCTTTCCTTCAGTGCCGTTAACCTAGAACTTATGTATCTGGGTGGGGATTTTCTTAATAGACTGGGATAAATCAATACAGGCATAGAGTATGTTTCATACGTGATCAAGGAAACTTTTATATTTGTCACAATTATTTAAATATGCTTCTCCTATTCGTCAAAAACAACTTTAAGGATTCCTCACTCAGTTAAAAGCCACATCCATGATTTTTTCTTATCCAAATGCTAACCAATTTTGATATCTTAAAATATCTCCTTAAAAAATCTTTTCATTGAAATTAAATTTTTATTTCACTTTTAGTATTAGTCTCCTCGTATTTGTTCTATTACTCCATTTTCCTTGGATACTTTGCTAATCAGAAGTACCTTTCTTTAACTGCAAATGAGCAAGTAAAAAAAAAAAGATATTTAAGGCAGTACATGGTAGGTACCTAGAAATTTTTCCCTGTCACATGGCATGTGCACTTTGAGAGACATTGCATGCCAGTGCAATAGACCCTAACTCCATCATGAATCAGACAGTTAAGCATGTCCTCAAGGGGAGGCTTGAAGACAATCTGGTCAGCTCCATTCATGAATAATTCAGTATTCAGGAATATAGAGAGCAAGGACTCAAAACTCTGCCATGTACTAGATTTGTGCCAGAGGCCCTGGCTCAGACACTTTTCGAATATGTAAAAGGACATTATTCTATCATTTACTGATTTTTTATTAGTTACTATATGGCTCTATTGCATTTTCTGGAAAGGAAAATTTCTTGCTGAGATAGTGATTGACGAGGCTGGTGGTTGTCTCTTGATCTGTTTCATTTAATGTGGACTTCAGTGGACACCCTGCTTTTGATGACTTAAATTCTGTTATCCTCACCTTCACCCAAGGAAGATTCTGTTTCTTCTTTAGATACTCTCTCTACTAGCCATATATTGGCTCAGATATCCATTAATCGAATTCCATAAAAATGCAGTTTGCTTTCTTCCTTCTGTGTTCATGCATACCACTTTTAAGGGGCCATTTAACTGGAAAACTTATACTATATCTTGTAAAATATCGAAAGAGGAGTAAATCTCACCCCCTTTCACAACTCCTCCACATAGCTGCCCCCTAATATCTCATCTGCACTCCCTCTGAAGGCTTCTCTCCCTCAACTCCTATGTTCCTCAACCATTCCCTACACCTCCACTCAACCATCTATACTAACAACACCTGCCCTGGCTTAAAAAAAAATTACATGTTGCTTCATTAAATTCTCCTAACTAAACATCTACTTTTCTCATTTGCTTTTTCCCTCTGACAGTGAAAGATGCTTTTTGAGTGAGTCTTAAAGAAAAACCATAAGTCAACCTCATGAGGTTAAAAGAACAAAAAAAATTGTGGGAAACGGCCAGGAAGGTATTATGCCATCTAATTATCACATGTCAAAAATCAGTACTTAAAAAGAATAGTCTCCACTGATGCCTATAAAGTGAAATAGCTCAAGACTGGTTTCCTCTAAAACTCTGTGTGCAAGCTTTATTTTTCATCTTCTGTATTTGATGTGAATCAGCTGGGTGTAGGAAGTGAGGATTTTTTTAAATTTGCTTTTATTTATTTTAAGGAGGATCTTGAGTGCTTCTTTGCCCCAAATAAGAGATAGATGAAAAAAATTAAAATCAGCTCCATGAAAAGGCAAGGAAGAGATTAGAGATATCAGATGATTGGAGAGGGAGACATCTATTTTATAGATGTGTGTAAGGCAAACTGGAAAATAAAGAATTACAAGTTCTTTATAAAACATATGAGATGGGAGAAATTTAAGTGAAGGACAGCATAGAAGGCACATACATTTTTAATTTATAGCCAGGAAGTCTCTTTCTAATTTTTAAATGAGCAAAAAAGGCAAAGGGGAAATCAAGAATAAATTCTAGCAGGAAAAATGGCAGCACTCTGAGTTTTAGAGGAATGCAACAAATTACTGTGAGAGATAATAAGAGTGTTTTAGGGAAATGGAATAATGAGTTATTTTCAGGAACTGAATTTTCTAAATTGAATGTGATGACTGGTACTAATTGATGATTAATGGTTCGGTGCTTTGCACCCTCTAAGCACTCAATAAATATGATTGATTGACTGATATGTCACTTACAAATACAGAATAACAGTTATGAAGCAATTATACAAGCAATACGTGAGTGGAAAAGCTTAATGCATCTGAAGATCCTACTAAAATAGAAACTAAATAATAATAATAATAACCCATACCTTTTCTGTGTCAATGCCTTTTGACATGGACCATGTTGAGACAATATAATCCATGACTCGCTCACTAAGGCCTTTTGGGACCTGATAGAGTTTTAGAAAGTCCCGTACATTATTCAGCATCTCATGGTATCGGTTGGTGTTGGCATACATTTGCTGGAAAATTGTTGTAACATTTCCAAAAATAGTTGCATAAAGAAGAGCTGAAAGAGAAGAAATGATAAAAATAAAACAAAAAAAAAACGTGAAAAAAATATGAATATTTGCTAATCAATGAATAATTTGACAGAGACATCCTTATAAACTTGTAGGGGTGAATGCATGTTCAACTCTGAGAAGATTGCCTGACACTTGGTATTCCCTCAGAAAACATTACCTTCAGTAGGAGAAACATGACTTTATGAGCATGCATGACTCTAGTCAATATGACAAAACATAAGAGTCATCACAGTGTTTTCTGAAGAATCAGATGATCCAAAGTTATAATTTTGCCTAAGAAATCCTATTTGTTAGTAGATTAAAGTTATCCTCCACTTTGTCCTCCTGAATGAAGTCTAATCAATTTAAATTTTTCAGAGATTGATGATCCAGTTTAGAAACATATGCTCTTTCTCATTACTTGCTCCTTCCAGCTTTTGGAATACCTCCCTGGTTATAAATATTTTTGACAGAACATCAGAAATTTAGGGAGTGGAGAGAAATTAATGTGCTTCATGTTTAGAAGGTTGTAAAGATAAAGAGATTTGGAGTTTTTAGCTAAAATAAAACTTTGGCAATGCTGAGAAATTCCAGTTATTAAATTCATATAATTATTCCAGTGATTTTTTTATTCCATTATTTTAATTAAATGTAAAGTTAGCCCACTGATGACTGTCATTCATCTATGGGGGACTACGGGTGGTATAGGGTAATAGGGTATATCAAAGCCCCGACTGCTCCCTCCTCAATCCATAATTCACCAACTCTTCTTTCTCCAGATGTAGTCAGGCTATTAATGCTGACAGGATCCTACAAAAGCTTATTTAGAGTAGAGTTCAGCCTAAACTCAACAAACTTCCGATCTTCAGTAGCACACTACCTGCAACCTGCCCTGCCCCTCTGGTTTCACTCCCTTATTAACTGGAAGCTTCTTTGAAAAGGGGGCAGTATTTTATTCACCTTAATATTCAGTACACAGGCATTCCATAAGCATTTCACAAATAAGTAGACTCACAGGCAATGATAATTTCCATCCTACATCCTCCAAGCATTTGAAAAAATGACTGTAAACAAAATATAGACTGTTTCACTTTGCAGTTTCATCAGCCAAATCCCATTTGATGGAAGTGGTATAAAATCAAGCTAGTGAAGCAACTTAAGATCTTTAATATACTGCTTTTATAAAATTATTTTTTTTCAAGAAGAGCTGTTCTCCTCTGAGTGTAACAAATTATAATTTCACAACCAAAACCTATTATTTTATAAAAATTTCATCAGTTTTTCTGCTATTATTTGACACCAGTGCAGGACAATTTTTTAAGACCGATCATATTTTGTTAGACCTGAGTAGGAGGAATAGAGTGTCGACATTTCCCAACTGAGTCTTTATACCTTTGAATATTCATATTGAAAAACAAAAAATTATCCTTTTGTCAGTCTTTCAATGTCTTGTGTGCATATATTTATTTTAATACTTTGAAATAAATGTGTTTATCTTTAATGTATCAATTTTCCATGTTGAAATGAAGAGTTTACTAGGATTGTGGATATAGTATCCTGAGATCTTGATTCTATAAAGAATTATTAAGTTTATTAAAAGATAGAGTTTTCTTTCCTTAAAAAAAAAAAAACTAAACTAAAGGTAATCATAGACTTAACATCTCTATTCCACCATTGTTGCTCTTAAGAAAAACAAACAGAAATAAGGTTAACAAATTAATGACAGCAGAATCATCTAACAAATATGGAATTTTACATTTTCAGAAAAGAGAAATAAGAAAAATTTACATTTTTAAAATAATGAGTATTTTAGGGGTTAATGAAATAATGCTGCAATTATGATTTTTAGTAGTGCTCAGCTATCATAAATTGTCAATAAATGTCACAGAACTACCTATTATTTTAACATGTTTAACTTGTTTGGCTCTCTAAGATGCCTGAGATATGCTACATTTGCCAAATGTCTTATTACTGCCTTCTAGTTTAACAAATTACTATGCATTTCATCTTTTAGGGTACATTAAATGTATACACAAAATATATTCTGCTCATATAAAAAGTTTAAGATAAAATATGAAGAACCTGCTAATGTATTAAAAGTTTGCAGCACTAAGAAATGAAGAATTATCAACATCCCATTAAGTTTGGCATATTATAAAAATATCCACTTTTTGGTTCATTTTTCATTTTCATTATTTTATGAACACATAATAATTATACATATTTATGAGGTATAATGATAGCTTGATATAAGCATATAACGTATAATGATCAAATCATGGTAATTGGTTATCATTTCTTTGTGTCAGGAACATTCCAATTCCACTCTTCTAGTTCTTATGTAATTTACAATCAGTTATTATTCCCACAGTTGCCCTATTGTGCTGCTGAACACTGGATCTCGCTTGTATTTTTGTACCCATTCACCAACTGCTCTTTACCCCTCACTGCCTCTCATTTTCATGTGAATGTAGTGTCCCTGCATCGCATAAGACTAAACAAGATAATAATTTAAAGTAAGAGATGCAATTATACGTTTACATTTTTGTAATTTTATTTTGAAATAATTTTAGACTCAAAAGAAGTTGCAGAAATAGTGCAGAAAGCTTACATTACCCACATGCAGCTTCTCACAAGGATGACATCCTACACAATTATAGTAATATAGCAAAACCAGGAAACTAAGAATGGCACAGTACAATTAACCAAACTAGAGAGGTTGTTTTTTTGTTTGTTTGTTTGTTTGTTTTTGCCAGTTTTTCTTTTTTTCGTATGCACTTGTTTCTTCGGTGTATAGTTTTATAAAATTTTATCACATATATAGATCCATGTCATTCACATATATTTTTTAAAAGAGAAATCACTTCTTTCTTATCAATATCTTCAATCTTGAGTATGGAATGCATTTCAAAAGAGATAGTGTGACAGCATGTATAATACTCCAGCAAGCAGGAACAGCGCTGCCCACTGCACCTGCGTTCCAGAACAAATGGGCATTTCTTTAATGACAGAGGCCTTGGAGCATGACACACAATAATAAGGGAAACTGATCTCAGTAGAAGCTCCCTCTAAACTGTCAACTCTCAAAATAATACCTCCCTCCCATATTACAGACACACCTATCTTCTTGGACGTCTAATCATTATTTGGATCTAACACATCCGAAAAGGAACTCAGTCTACAGCACCCTCTCTCCAACAGCCAAACGTACTTTTCACCTCTGCAAACAGCAAAGCCATACCTGGTTGCTCAGATCAAAAACCTCAAAGTTATTCTTCAATCCATTCTTTGATTCATCTCCTATATCTGATCCATCAACAATTCCTGTTCGCTCTACCTTCAACATATAGCTCCAATTCAATCACTTCTCACTGTCTCTACCAGCATTCTTGCAGTCTCTACGAGTATGTGTCTTTGGACCAATTACTAAACCTCTGTTGGCCTCTATGTCCTCACTTAGAACTTTAAAATTACACTGGAATCTTCACCAAAGGGTTGTGTTAAATGAGATAATGCATATAAAACAGTATTTAAAAAGAGTCTGGTAGGGACTAAGTATCCACAAAATGCTATTCATCATCATCACCACAAAAATCATTTCCCAAAAAAAAAGAATAATCATATATAATATGATCTTGGCCACATATAATCATAGCACTGCCTCTTCCACTGACCATCACTCCTGTCAGTCTTCTCTTCATTCCCTCTGCTTCAGTATATATCTTCTTGTTGCTAATCAAACAACCTAAACTAATTAATTCTTCAGGGCCCCTTTACTAGCTCTTCCTCGAACACTCTTCTCCATGATCCTCACTTGGTTTGTTTCCTCTCCTCATTCAGGTCTCTGATCAAAACCTGACTCATTGGCTGGGTGCAGTGGCTCCTGCCTGTAATCCCAGCACTTTGGGAGGCCAAGGCAGGAGGATCACAAGGGCGGGAGTTCGATACCAGCCTCACCAACATGGTAAAACCCCGTCTCTACTAAAAATACAAAAATTAGCCAGGCATGGTAGCCCGCGCCTGATATCCCAGCTACTTAGGAGGCTGAGGCAGGAGAATCGCTTGAACCTGGAAGGCAGAAGTTGTAGTGAGCCGAGATCACACCACTGCACTCCAGCCTGAGTGACAGAGCAAGACTTCATCTCGGAAAAAAAAAAAAACCCTCACTCATCACTGAGGCCTTCCCTGACCATGCTGTCTAAACATCCTCTTCCCCCACTATTACTATCTACCGCCTTACCATGCTTTATCGTTCCTTATTTTATCACTACTTTAACTTTATTTATTTATTTATTTATTTATTTATTTATTTATTTATTATCCATCTTTTCCCCTAGGAATGCAAATTCCAAGAGGGCAGGTGTGGGCCTGATCCTTTTGGCTCACTGCTGTATTTTCCCAATATAGACCAGTTCCTAGAACACGGCAAGTGTTCAAATATTTTTTTTCCAGTAAATTCACACACCGAAAACTAAGAAACAGTTTTTCAGAAACATTTTATTTTCATATCAAAATCTTACTACCAGTGTTACAAACATATAGAAGGAATATACACTGTTAAGGCAGGTAGGGGAATGAAACATTTAAAGGCTAAGGTTATTCATGTCCTAACCATATTAAGGTAAAAATAAATTAGAAGTCCCATTGTCATTCATTGAACATGAATTCCCATGGTCTGGCCAGTTTTGTAGAGACCCTTTACATTATTTTACCTTTTGAATGGAGATATCATATAGTCAATCCATGTACTTTACTATTAATAGTAATAATTAGGTTAATTTGTGACAATTTCATAAGGGTTTTTTTTACATGCTCTCCTGCAGACTTATAGACTTAAGATAACTGCTAATTGTGAAAGCTAATCATACTTAAGGCCTTAGTAAATCTGGCATATAAACCAGCAAATGCCTTATATAAAAAGTCTTATATTTTTCTTATTCACCACAAAGGGATTATTTTGAAGATAATTATGACACATAAAAGATGGAATATAGACCTTGCCTCT